CATCCACCAGGAGCCCTGAGGTGGTGTACAAAGGATAAAAAACATTTAAAACATTAAACACGGAAGTAAAACCTCTCTAATATGTTTGACTGAAAGTTCAAGACCTCTTTAAATCCCAATACTTGGATCTTTACAAGGAATGAGTGAGATCACTCTCAAAGGATGTACTATCTTTGTATCTCATCAGAGTTGAAGGGGTTGTCGTTCTTGAGTTCTCTTCAGGGTAAAAAAAATGGCGGGGTATAAATAGAGTAAATAAATACATTCTCCCTTGAACACTTATCCTCATTTGACTTTAACAGGGACCACTGTAAATTTGTGACTCTTAAAAACAGGGGTGCAGAAGTTCTTTTCTTGGAACATAAGTAGTTATATTTTACTTCATCAAATTACTGGTTGACCTATAAGGTTTTGGGTTTTAGAGCAGTTCCAAAAGCAGTCCCACTTGTGACATGTGGGTGAGCCATTCTAGCAAGTGTGGTGTTGAATTTTTCTTGAATTTCAGCATTTCTTCTTTTTCTGTCATTGCAGCAGAAGTCTGGATTATTGATGGGTTTCATCTAAAGTTTTGTTGATATTATTCAGCCAGATTTTTCATTCATTATTTCCCTTGATGGCTTTCTTTACATTTCTCCTCACTATTAATTTCACCCAATTTCTTCTTAAATTTTCATTTCCTGAGGAAAGCACTGTGCAGTTTTCTGACTCAAAATGTCCCATTTGTCTCCACACAGCTAACCCACTCTCTTGAGACCTTGCAGTGTTTGTAGGTTCAGTTTCTTGTTTTACTACATCTAGTTTTCCTTGGTTCATGCTTCCTATAATGTATGATGTGTAGCTTCAGACTTTCCTTTCACTTCTGAACAGCTGAACTTACTTATGGTTTGAGTCTAGTTGCACCATTAACCAGAGTGTTTACACATGTTCACTGCTCTTCCCCAAGAGTTTGTTAGTTGCCTTCCAACCTGGATGTTTCCCTTTTTAGGACTTTCTCTTGTTTTATTTTGGACTGTCTGATCCTAGGATTTTCAAGATAGATGGTTTCAGGAGTAGTTGACCATTGCCTTCTTCTGTGGAATGCTAAAAACATTCGCTCTGATAAAATCACAAATATATCTGAGAGATTCTTTACCAACGAAGCTATAGTCAATTGTCAATAGGTTATTAATGAAGAAAAAACACAGAACTACTACTTTAAGCAGAAGAATCTTGAAATTTATGTAATGAAGTTAGAAAAGTCTTTTATTTTTTAAAAAGCAATAAATATAAGATTTATATGGGTGTGTATGAATGTGCATGACAACTTTGACAAATATAATTTTATTGCTGTTGTTTGATAAAGCATCAAATTGTTACATGTTGTAAGACTGCCCTGCTTCCCCTTCGGGGTGAGAAGGGCGGAGTACAAAGATGCTAAATAAACAATGCATCATTTAAAATCAAATTATCTGTGCAGGGTCTGCTCCAAATTACTGCTTTCTCTGTGATCCCAAACTCTGTGCCTACACCCTCTCTCTCTGCCCAGTAGACATTATAGATCAGTTGAAAACCCAGCTTCCTCACAGCATTCATATGACCACTTTCAGTTAGTCATAGCCTTTCAACTAAACCTACTTCAAAGAGTTTTGAAAAAGATAAAATGTGGTTACAAGGGTAAAATACCTCATAATACTTTTAGCTCCAGGAAAGATAAAACATGTTGTCATTTTTTAAAAAAACAACAACAACAACAACAACAACAACATATATTCCAATGGTTCTTTTAGTGTGAACCCCACTAAACTATAACCTATAACTTTATTGGGGGGGGGGGGGTCACTCCAAGCAAGTAAATGTTAAATCTAAAGTGAGAATCTACAAATTAAAAATGTCTTTCCTTTCTCACTGTGCAGCTTTAGCATGCACAGATAAGAGGAAGAAACCAGTACAACTAAGTCTTAATGCATACAATTTATGAAAATCTAGAGACAAATTTATGGACTAAATCAAAGAAAACAAATCTTTACAAATAAGGATTATGTCTGAAATACTGAGCCAGATGAAATAAAGTACTTGAAGTGGAAGTAGTCAGAAGTTCACTTCTAATTTAGAAAAAAAGTTTGTAAAATGTTGACTAGATCAAACTGCAATTACTAGAGGCTTCTAGAAAAGGCAACTGATGCTCTTCCTTTTGTACAAGTATTTTGTTTTGACCAGGAAAAGCTAATTTAGAGGGGTTGTGGGCTACAAAACAGTTTTGAGTGATGCCATAATCAGGGTCATAACATATCCCCTCCTGCACCCCAATGTGTGAACTCACTCCACTAAGAAGCACTTCTATCTTTGGCATATTTAGAGTTTAATGATGCATCGTGAGTGCATACAAAATAGCGTTTGATCTTGCATTAAGGGACTAACAGAAGTCTTCAAAATCGCCTTCCTTTCAAACTGGCTCATCACCTTTCAAGTCCAGTTCTGGCTCAGTATGGGCTAAGTTTCTCTTCTTCTGCCTCTCTCTAAATAGCTGATTCAGTGAGCTTGCAACCACTCAGATTAATTGACCTAAATCTTCATTGATTGACTAAAAGTGTGTCCTGAATTAATTGATCAGTAGAGAATTGGTGCTACTTGCTAACAGCTTGTAATGCAACTGTCACAATAACAAGAGGCGGTGGCCCCCATCTCAGAACACTTCTTCTTCACATAGAAAGGACAACAAGTTTAATTGACTGTGATGTATGCTAAAAGAACTTGTTTGTTTATTCGGGTTCAGAAATTCAGATGCAGATATGTGCAAGTCAGTCAATTGAATTTCATACTTATGAGACTTCTATCATAAAATGACAGGCCTGTTAATAAAGGAATTGAGGGGTTGGAAAAAGAGTTCAAATACAGGCAATTAATGATCCAGAATGCACAGAAACACCCCCTTTCTCTTTATGACTTGTCTACATATCCTCAGACAGCGTGGAAACTGGCCATTCAGAAGTTGTTGAACTGCAATGGCCAACATTCCTCCCAATTTACAGTATTGGCTAGGGCTGCTGGGATTTGCAATCCACAACAGATAGAAAGCTGCATGATCATAGAAGCCTAAACATGGAAGGACAAGAGGAGTTCACTGGCTGAGGTTGTTTCTCCTTGAACTGTCACAATGGAAACAACATGAATTCCGAGAACTTTGACCACATTTTCCGGAAGCCCCAACTGTCATACACCAGGATGCAGTGAAACAAAAGGTCTTTGCTGGCATTTGAGATTGTTGTTTTCTGTTAACAGCAACTAGGAAACAGAAATCACAGTTAAGACTGCAGGGGTTACCAAGAAGCTTTCACCCTTGCTCCATCTTGATACCTTCAAGGCAAAGGGCAGAGGACTGAGCATTCACTGGAACATTACAGCACACCCAAATGCCTGGGAGTTACCCTGGACTGTGCTCTGACCTACAAGAAGCACTGCCTGAATATCAAGCAAAAAGTGGGTGCTAGAAATAATATCATACAAAAGCCGATACACAACCAGATACAGTAAAGACATCTGCCCTTGCACTATGCTACTCTGCTGCTGAGTATGCATGCCCAGTGTGGAACACATCTCACCACGCTAAAACAGTAGATGTGGCTCTTAATGAGACATGCCGCATTATCACAGGGTGTCTGCACCCTACACCACTGGAGAAATTACACTGTCTAGCCGGTATTGCACCACATGACATCCACTGGGAAGTAGCAACCAATAGTGGAAGGACCAAGGCAGTGACATCTCCAGTCCATCCCCAGTTTAGATATCAGTCAGCACTCCAATGGCTTAAAACAAGAAATAGTTTTCTAAGAACTACAGAGACACTCGCTGGAACACCCCAGCAAGCGAGAGTTCAAAAGGAGCAGGCTCAAACCCAGAACCTCAACCAATGGCTGATACCAAATGAGAGACTCCCTCCTGGGCACACAAAAAACTGGGCGACTTGGAAGGTGCTGAACAGACTGCGCTCTGGCACCACGAGATGCAGAGCCAACCTTAAGAAATGGGGCCACAAAGTGGAATCCAGGACATGTGAGTGTGGAGAGGAGCAAACTACAGACCACTGCTGCAATGCAACCTGAGCCCTGCACATGCACCATGGAGGACCTTCTTATATTAACACCAGAGGCACTCCAAGTGGTCAGATACTGGTCAAAAGACATTTAACAGAGTGCCAAGTTTGCAAACTTTGTGTGTGTGTTTTATAAATATAATGCAACTGTTTGGTTCGCTCCTGACACGAGAAATAATAAATGGGAGCTGTACTTTCACAAGATCTTGACTCTTATCTCGCAAAGAGCGCTGGTGCCTCGCCAAACTAGAACTCCCAGCCTCCTATAGCACTGAGCCAAGGCCTTTAAAGTGGTGCCAAAATGCTCGAATGCCACAGAGTATGCACCTTCATGATTTTTCCCCAATTCAAATAAATCCAATATCGGAAAGGCTTCTGGCGACAAGCATTTCAGAAAGAGAAAACTTAATCGTCTCATTTTATATAGCTCGACGCGGCGTGTAAAGTTGGAAATTAATAGATGCGGGAGGAGGAGGAGGAGGAGGAGGAGGAGGAGGAGAGTGCCACTCCTCCTCTTCCTTTGCTTGCGCTTCCGAGGCGGCGTGCTTTGGAGGGCACCCTCTTAAGACTTGCTAGTGCCCCGTGCCCACGCCGGACCGAGAAGAAGCGCCTTCCCTTTCCACGGGGTTCCAAGGGAGGAAGGAGGCAGGGAGTCGCCAGGAAGCTTCCTCCGCGCCGAGCCTTCTCTCCCTGCCCTCCTTTGCCGCCTCCGCGGGGCTCCTGGGCACCCGGTGCCCTGGGACTGGGAAAGAGAGAGCGCGCGCGCCTCCTGCGAGAAGCCCGCCTGCGACTGGCTGAACTGCTCACCCCGCGCGCCACTTGGAAGCCCTCTGCGCCCCTTTGGAGCCCGCGTCCAGGTGCTCTGGGAAGTAAGACTGAGCGCGCGCGCACCCGCCCGTGATTGGCTGGACGGGGGTCTGGGCCGGGCATGGAGCGCAACCTGAGCGCCAAAGCGCGGGCCAACGGGACCTCGGAGGAGGATTCGGCGGCGGAGGCGACCTTGGCGTGGGCTTTCGGCGTGGCGCTGTCGCTGCTGTGCGTGGCCGGCGTCTCGGGCAACACGTACACCTTGGCGCTGCTGTGGCGCTCGGGCCGGCGCTGCTGCTGCTGCTGGTGCCCGCCCAGCTCCGCGGCCTCCTCCTCCTCCCGCGTGTCCCCGCTGGCGCCCTCCCTCGCCAGCCTGGCCCTGGCCGACCTGCTCTACCTGGGCTCCATCCCCTTCATCGTGAGCACCTCGCTGGCGCGCGACTGGCCCTTCGGGGCGCTGGGCTGCCGCCTCCTGCTCAGCCTGGACCTGCTCAGCATGCACGCCAGCATTTTCACCCTGACCCTCATGTGCGCCCAGCGGTACCGCGCCGTGGCCAGGCCCCTGGCTGCCCGGGGCTGCGCCGGGACCCCAAGGGCCCAGGGAGCGCTGGCTGGCGCCGCCTGGGCCCTCTCGCTGCTCCTGGCGCTGCCCATGATGCTGATGGTGAGCCTGGGCCGGGGCCCCGGCGGGAAGCGCCTCTGCGCCCCCACCTGGAGCCCCCAGGCCTACCGCCTCTACCTGAGCCTGCTCTTCGGCACCAGCATCGTGGGGCCCGGCCTGGCCATCGGGGCCCTCTATGCCCGCCTGGCCCTGGCCTATCTGGCCTCGCTGAAGCGCCCGCCGCGCAAGCAGGAGCCCCGCCACACCCCACGCCGCAAGGTCCTGCTCCTGCTCCTCAGCATTGTGCTGCTCTTCTGGGCCTGCTTCTTGCCCTTCTGGCTCTGGCAGCTGGTGCCCCTCTACCACGGGCCGCTAGGCCTGGCCCGGCCCACCCAGAAGCGCATTCACTACCTGGTAACCTGCCTCACCTACAGCAACAGCTGCATCAACCCCTTCCTCTACACCTTGCTCACCCGCAGCCACCAGGAGTACCTCCGCAGCCGGCACAGTGCCCGCTACCGCTTCATCTCCTCCTTCTGCCAAAACTCAGGAGCAGCCCAGAGGCAGCCTGGGGAGGGGGGTCTGGCCATGGCCACACTGTGTCACCCCAAGTGAATGGCCTCCCACCCAGCCTTGCATCTCTAGAATCTACCTCCAGGTGAGCCCAGCCCAGGTAAGGCCAAGGGTGAGCTGATGTGGTCTGTCCAATGCCATTTTCTGAATCAGCACCCCAAATAACCAAACTGAATCTAAAGTTGACCAAAAACCGATTAGTAACCCTTTTGGTACTAATGTTGGAGAGTGCTCCCTGGTCAAAGTGGTCCCTAGTCAAAAAAAAAGGGTGTGGAACCACTGATGTAGACTAATGCATAAGTCTAGGAATGTACATCCAAATACCCAACCCCAAAAAACTGAGTCAACTTCTTCACAGGTCACTGTAAGTACTGTATCCTAAGTTTTACAAGGAATGAAGGAACCACCCCTTCTCTGAGTAAAATGGCAAAAGGCGAGAGCTTTTTCAATTCCAGGAGAACCTAAAAGAAGCACAACCCCTTTCACGAGCATGGTGCCACTTCTGGACTTTTTGAATGTCTGCGTAGGAAAATGACTCCCTGAGGCATTGCTAGTACTTTATCTTCTCCACAGAACAACTCTCAACTTATCTACAGTCATATCAAAATCCATTATTTTGACCCCCGGTGGCGCAGTGGGTTAAACCCCTGTGCCGGCAGGACTGAAGACTGACAGGTCACAGGTTTGAATCCGGAGAGAGGCGGATGAGCTCCCTCTATCAGCTCCAGCTCCTCATGTGGGGACATGAGAGAAGCCTCCCACAAGGATGATAAAATCATCAAATCATCCAGGAGTCCCCTGGGTTTCTCAAGTCGCTCCTGACACGACAACCTCCCCCCCCCCAAAAAAAACACAACCCAAAACCTCTCCTCAGCATATACACAACCGATGTAGTGAAGCAACCAAGTTGAACGGGGGAGGGGAGTGTTGAACGCTCTCATTAAGGAGGCCAGACTTGGTGGAGGTGGTTGACAGGGGCGGAGCTGCAGGCTATTGAAGGCTGCTCTGCCCCCTGCTGTGCTCTTTGCTTCAGCGTGAGCTAGGAGGCAGGTTTCAAGCCCCCCCCCCCCCCCCGAAATTTTCAACCCCTCCCAAAAAAAATTTCTGGCTACAGCCCTGCCTGCCCTTCATTTTACTAGCTCTTTGGATTTCTCCTCACTCTGTTTTCGGTCCTCCAGGCTTCCCTATATTTTGTCATAAAAAATATGTCTCATATAGGTCTCAAAGCGATCTCCTCCTCCCCTTATAAAAAATAACTTTTTTGGTAAAATTTTGAATATTCAGAGCTTCCTTTTCTCAGAAGCCATAGCCCTATGCTCATGCTCTTGTTCACATGTTATATATTGGGTAGAGTTCAATTGTTAATAAAATCATTCAGTTAAAATATAATGGTTACATTTTTTAAAGGTTGTTTAAAACAATTTAACTAAAACAATGCAAGACCCTCTTACACTTTAAAAGCTGATCTTGCGTACTACATGTAAGGTAAAAAACTGAAACTAGCAAATACAACTGCATGTACCACTTTTGTCTTTCAGTGATAAGTGTGCAAATTATGTGAATAGAGTCCATTCTCATCATTAGCCAGATGTGTCCAGGTCAGGCCATGTGAAAATGTGGTGAATCCATGGACCTGAGTTGATGGACTTCATGTGTCATCACCACAACTCAGCATACTTTTGATAGATGATTTGTCACTATCACAAAACCCCTTAGTGCATTAAAAACAGCTTTGTGAGATGCAGCACTGATGGTGATAATGGCGATGGATACAAGGTTTCTGAAACAGGCTTAATGAGACAGACAGACTTGTTCTTGGTGGCACCTCCCTTAAGTAATTTGAAATCATTCTGTCATAATGATCCCACTTTCCTTCAGAGCTGAAGGAACAGCCAATTTCTATTACAGGTACTTCCTAAATATATTCTGGAGAATTATGTGTGTAATAAGAAAATAAAGCAACTCATCGATGTATGTCCTTCCGAAGCAGAAAGTATTTTTAAAATAATTATTCTGGCATTTCTAATGCATTCACTTTTGTGCTTATTACTGCAGTAGCACAGTACTGAGTGGCTTTATTGGGAGATAATGGAAAATGGCTTCCTGTTCTTTGCCCTAATTCATTGCTAACTAAAGCTCAGAGTAGGCTTGCCACTTCCAGCGTACCCCATACTGCTGTGCCTCATTTTTACTGAACTGATTAAGATTCTGCTCCCCTGATGGACCGCTGCTGTGGTCAAATAATCTGCTCTCCTGCTGGTTTTGTTGTACTGAAAGGTATAGCAGTGGGAGGCTAGTCGTAAGGCGGCAGAGCTAGTTGTAAGTTTAATCTTTTCCATTGTAAAGTATTGAGGGCTTGTGGCATCCCACTGAGATTACATGCATCTTTCTTCATGCTGGTGTCTCTGTTCGGTAAAGCTGATCTTCATGGCAAAGATCTTCAGCCCAGTGTGGAACACATCTCACCACACTAAAACAGTAGATGTGGCTCTTAATGAGACATGCCGCATTATCAAGGGTGTCTGCGCCCTACACCACTGGAGAAATTACACTGCTTAGCCGGTATTGCACCACCTGACATCCGCCGGGAAGTAGCAGCCAATAGTGAAAGGACCAAGGCAGAGACATCTCCAGCTCATCCCTGTTTGGGTATCAGCCAGCACGTCAACGACTTAAATCAAGACATAGTTTTCTTAGATCTACAGAGACACTCGCTGGAACACCCCAGCAAGCGAGAGTCCAAAAGTGGCAGGCCCAAACCCAGCACCTCAATCCATGGATGATACCAGATGAGAGACTCCCCCCTGGGCACACAGAAGACTGGGCGACTTGGAAGGCGCTGAACAGACTGCGCTCTGGCACCACGAGATGCAGAGCCAATCTTAAGAAATGGGGCTAAAGGGTGGAATCCTCGGCATGCGAGTGCGGAGAAGAACAAACCACTGACCACCTGCTGCAATGCACCCTGAGCCCCACCGCAGAGACACTCGCTGGAACACCTCAGCAAGCGAGAGTTCAAAAGTGGCAGGCTCAAACCCAGCACCTCAATCCGTGGGGTGATACCAGATGAGAGACTCCCCCCTGGGCACACAGAAGACTGGGCGACTTGGAAGGCACTGAACAGACTGCGCTCTGGCACCACGAGATGCAGAGCCAATCTTAAGAAATGGGGCTACAGGTGGAATCCTCGGCATGCGAGTGCGGAGAAGAACAAACCACTGACCACCTGCTGCAATGCACCCTGAGCCCTGCCACATGCACAATGGAGGACCTTCTTGCGGCAACACCAGAGGCACTCCAAGTGGCCAGATACTGGTCAAAGGACATTTAACCAACTACCAAGTTGCAAAATCTGTGTGTTTTTTTTCTTTTCTTTTTAATCTGTGTGTTTGTTTTGTTCTGTTAGAATTGTAACACAATGGTATGGTTGCTGATGACACGATAAATAAATATGGCAAAGAAATTTTCAAAGTGGCCAGATGAGAAATCTGTTCATGGAAACACTTCCCCTCCTCCAGAGTAGGACAGTTACAGAGATTACAGCAGGCATTGGCAAACTTCGCCCCACCATGTGTTTTGGACTTCAACTCCCATAATTCCTAATAGCCTACTGGCTGTTAGGAGTTATGGGAGTTGAAGTCCAAAACCCCTGACGGGCCAAAGTTTGCCCATGCCTGGGTTAGAGCCATTACAGAAAGTAGCTGCAAAGGGGTGTCTTGGCATGGCCTGCTTTTTGACATTGGGAACTCTGCTGAAGAGGCAAGTTAGATCATCTGGGCCACAACAATGCAATACAATGGTGTGGCTCTCCAGATGGTGCTAGACTGCAAAACTCCCATAGCCCTAGACAGAATCGCTAATGGTGAGGGATTGTGGGCTTTTCAGTTTGATAATATTTGCAGGTCTGCTTGTCCCTCCCACTCATGGAACAAACAATGTTCACAGCATTTGGAGCTATAAATTAGTCTACAAAAGCTGATGCTACAATTTATTTCAATTAGTCTCAAAGATACTAAATGATCTCTTTGCATACCGATATTGTAGACTCATCCAGCCATGCCTTTGAATTTATGTTCACATAGATAAGGGGAAACTGTTCATGCTAATTGTCTTGCATAAGATCATATGCTTTGTTTTGATCCATGTACATCATCAGAGATCTCCTGCCACTGGAGTCATGTGTGTGTATGGAAAAGAGATGCAAAGGCCATCTTCACACACATGTCCATTGTACTACTTAGATTTGTTCTTACCTTAAAGGCAGAGAGTCAGAGATGTCAGAGACAATTGTATGATCTTGGTTGGAAAAAAATAAAACCTTGAATGGACCCCACCTTAGGTAATATCAGCACAATTTCTAATCCCCCTTTCTAAGTAAGGCCCTAGAGTGTGTAGTGACAACACAATTCCAAGTTTTCTTGAATGGAAAGCTTACCTGGACCCATTCCAGTCTGGATTCAGGAATGATTATGGGAAAAATTGCCTTAATAGATGACCTACACCAGGAGGTGCTCTTCCTTGATCTTTCAGCAATATTTGATACCATTGGCCATAGTATTCTTCTAAGTTGTCTGGCAGATATGGGGCTTGGGGGCATTGTCTTGCAGCAGTTCTAGTCTTTCTTGGCTAAATGTTCTCAGAGGATCTTGCTGGGGTACTGTGGTTGAATCAGAATAAAGCTATGAGGTTGCACATGAATCAGTATTGTCCCTTATTTTTAATATCTATATGAAGCCACAAGGAGAAGTCATCCAGAGCTTTGGGGTTTGGTATTATCCATGTACTGATGGTATAGTTCTTGGAAAATGCATCTGGAGTAAAATGCAGCAACCAGATGGATATCATTTTAGAGACCTTATAACATTGGTCTTGTAAGAACTACTCTGGCTTCTAATTTGTTTCTGAGCAAAATTGAAGATGCTGGTGATCTACAACTGATTTGGACAGCGATATCTGAAAGACTATTTCTTAAAAATAAAAACAAATTGATTCTGCATGCTTTGTTGTTGAGTTGTTGAGTCTTCCAGAATATTGAGATCTTCAGAGGAGGCCTTGTTGAATGTCTCAACACCGCATGAAATTAGGTTGGTTGGTACACATTGCAAGGTTTTTCTGCCACCATGCAGAAAAAGCACAATCAAAGCATCCCCTGAATGGTGGGAGGG